AGTCAACTGCAACTCAGAGAGTTGTATGAGTCTGTGAATAACAGATTGAACCCTGGCCTATCTTAAACCAGCCTTACCGTCTCTACCATAGTGTTCAGAATGCTCAAGCATATTGTTGCAGTTAGTGTGTCAGTTCAACTCATGGAGAATATTTCTCACCTTTGATGACTCTGTCTTCCCCAGCATAATGTCTTTTTCCAAGGACTGACACTGACTGTCAGCATATCCCCAGTTTGGAAACAAATTTCATAAACTTTTCCTCTAAGAAGCACCTTGGTTGCACTTTCTCCAAGATAGATTTGTTTGTTCTCTTGAAAGAATATATTATTGCTATTGTGAATAACACTGCACCACCAATCAAAAGCATGAATCCATTTTTGGCCTTCCTCTTCATTGTCTTTTTCATTGCTTTTACCTGCATATGAAGCAATTTAAAATAGTCAAGTGTTCCTTCCTCTTTAAACTGACCTCCCTGCTCTTTAAGAGGTACTTACCAGCAGATTTGTACAATGCTACATGCATTTTTCTATTCTCTTCTGCTACCATGTTTGTTGTGGATCTAGTTAACATGAAATCAATAAGAACTTCAATCTATTTTTCTGTCATGATTTTGTCTGTCTGACCAGTTATGATAATTTTTGTTTTCTTGATGTGAAGGTGTAATCCATAGTGTAGAGTACAGCCATTTACTGTCTGCAGTAATTACCTCTTTCCTCCTTCATTTTCTGTTGTGTCATCTGCACACCATAGCTTACTGATGTAAAAGTTCTGTAACCTGATGCCGCACCCTTCTTCCTGTAGTCCATCTTCTTGAATTATTCAGCATATGGATTAAATGGCTTGGAGAAAGGATGCAACCCTAGCAAACAAACTTCCCAATTTTAAACCATGTGGTATTTCTTTAACCATGTTCAAATGACTGCTTATTGCTTATTGTACAGGTTTCACATGAGAACAATTCAGTGTTCTAAAAATCCCCATTTTCTCTGTTATTCGTAATTTATTATGAATTAATTATTATTACCATAGTCAAATGCCTTTGCATAGTTAATAAAACACATGTAAAAATCCCTATGGTATTTCTGCCTTCTGTTATGATCCTTCTTATATCATCAGTGATATATAACCTTTCCTGAATTTCTAGTAATTCTCTATCAATGTAATGTTTCACTCATTTAAAAATAATCTTTAGCAAAAATATCACAGTTTTTATCTTGATGTCTTCCAACTCTGTAAAAGGAACCATGGGCAATGTGGGGACAACCAAGTCTGCTTCTACTAACTCCATGAAGGGAAACTCCCCTAATGAACAACATCTGCGTTATAAGACTGATATAGATCAGACATGCTCCCCCACGCTCCTGCACCTAACTCCAGTAATCACTGAATCCTATATTCATTGACGACAACCACATACACTTGATGTTATCTCTTTTTACTCACAGTTGTCGAGTTTATTAGGTAAATATGTGGGTGAAGGCAAAGGATATACATAGTGCAAGTTCAAGTTTAGTCCAGCAACACAAATGCAAGAAGTCTCTGTAGTTAGCAGCTTCCTGTAGAAGCTTCCTTTCAGCAAGTAAAACCTATGGCTCTGGCTCCATCTCATGGGCTCTTGTGCTGGCTCCATCAGGCTACACCTTCCTAGTCTCACCCCAATCTGGTTAGCTTCCTTCCTTATGTTCATCTCACAGCTGTGGATGATGAAGATGCTGATTCACAGGTGAGGCAGCTGGAGACCACATTCCCACAGGAGCTAAAGGTAGTGGGTGGAGCCTCAAAGATTCATTGAAGTTAGATGTTCCCACCTGGTTATGTGGTCAGGTCTATGGCAATAGATAAAATAGTCATTCTTACATGTCTTAACACCACAAGCTTATTGTTGCTCAGTGTTCTGGTACAAGCCTAGGGTGTTCAAGGGCTCATTGTTTCAGAAGTGTAGGATAGCCCTGCTTCTTAGTCTGGAAGCTAGACCACACTTGAAATACTGGTAGCATAGTATCACTGCAATATGTTGTGTAATTTATTAAAAAGTATATAGAATTTATTTAATTTATTTAATCTATGAATTGTTAATGTTGTGCCTGTATTTAAGTCTTTGCACAAGCTTCCACTTTGGTCATGTTTAGATTCTCTTTAGAGAAAGAACTCAATGCTAAGTCATGGCGAAGTAGAGACGTTTCTCACAGTAAACAGCTCCACAAAAGTAAAACTGATTTCTAAATAGAAAGTTTCTCACATAAACCACAGAAGTCTTTTTGGCCTTTTGGATGTGAGCTCTTTGTAATGGCTTCCTAGGCAGCTGCCATTTTATTTTAGTTGCTTTAAATAGTTCGATATTTCTTTTTTCAAATACACTTGTTTTTGTTGCTGTTGTTAAGTGCCATTGAGTTGCCTGCGACTCATAGTGACTCTATGTACAAAAGCCCTAAGCCCTGCTTTATCCTGTGCCAATCTCACTGTCTCTGACACACCCACCCCGATAACCCCAGTCACTGAATGAATCCATCTCCTCGAGGGTCTTCCTCTCTTGCACTGTCCCTCCACCCTCCCAAGCATGATGTCCCTCTCTAAGGACTGTTCCCACCTTACAACATGTTCAAAGTATGTCAGACGAAGCTTCAAAAGTGTTAGCAGTGTAAAACATATGTATGTATGAATATGTATCTTTAAATATAGAAATCTTAAATAACTGATATCACAAAACTTAACATCTGTGAGAAAAAAAGAGTAAATATTCATTTTTTTAATGAACTAATATTCTGATTGTTTTATTCTAGTTGCTATCTAGTTTTTCAAGCTAATTATACCCTTCCAGTGATTGAATCATGTACAACTCAATATTTTATTTAAATATCTAAAAATGTCATATTTTAATAAAAATAAATGCCACTGAGTCATTCAGAAGGACTATGACAACAGAAAAATACACATGAACCATGCATTTTGATTTTTGTAAAGATTGGTTTTTTACTTTACAAGTGAATTTTCATATCTTCTTCTCCTTGTCCTCCATGTCTTCCTTCTTTCCCTCAGTATATTTCTTTTTCTGTTATTCCCTTACAGCTGCAGCACAGCATGTCTGATCATGAGCAACACCAGTCTCTGAGACGCTCATCCTCTCTCTGGCGTAGTACTGATGCTTCATCTTTCTATCTAACTAATTCTTCCATCACTGTCACTCCTGTCAACTCGCCTGATTCCAGACTCTCATGGGGATTGTTAATACCACCACCTTCTAAATGTGGCCTTCCAAAGCCAGTCAGTGAGAACAGCATTCCAAGACCTCATGTAATTTGCTTAACAGAAAATCTTTTGTTTTGCTTCCTTTTCTTCGCCCCCCCCCTTCAAGCATGCTATTTATATGGTAATTTTAAAATTAGGTATGCTTAAAAGTCACAAATCTCTATGATGTGATCTAGAGCCTTTGTGTACCATTTTTATTTCCTTTGATTACCAGTTATCTGAGTTTCAAGTAGAAACTGATGTTGTGCAAGAAAAGAAAGGAAGAGAAGAAAACAAGTATTTTAATGGGTTCATCAGCTAAAATAATTATGACATTAGTTTTTCAAAGATATTTTTAAATGCACATTCAGTAGATTTCAGTGTAAAATGAGCAAAATCTAGATTGATGTGACTTGAGAAATAAATGTCACAGAAAAGGTAATCCCCTTTTTATGGACCTTGAAGAGAAGAAAAAGAAAGGAGAGAGGCTAGAAGAATTAAGAGTAGAGTTTAAAAATGTGTAGCTTGTTTTCTTTTAATGACAGTCAAAATTTCAATATCTTTATATTGCTCAAAAGAATATAGGAATAGAAACAGGGTGATGGGAGGATTAAGAGAACAAAATTCTTGAATAAGTGATGAAAGGTAAAAGAAAAACTGGCTTTAAAGTCTTTGGACAGTTTTTATGACTAAACAGATAAGTTGTTAAGAGAAATTATGTAAATTTTCCTGCATGGAAAAAGTTATAGTAATTTTAACTGAATAGCAAATCTGTCATATCCAGCCTTATTTCCTTTCATTATCTACATCATCTATGACACTAAAAATATAAATATATACTGAGAACTCTTTTCCACTAACATAGACATTTACTTGCTTTGGTTGCTGGTTAGATCAGATGGTTTTTACAGTAAAAATTAATACCCACCCCCCTCCCTCTAACAATCAAAGTTGTAACTGCTTCATTCCGGCACTTCTTGTCTACCTACTCATAGACCTTTCATTTTTCATCCCCTGAATTTCCATGTATTGGTACAACTCAGATAACTCGAGTTTGGTGATACATTTAGTAATTATTAAGTAATTTCATGAGGTTTCTCTCTATTATGGAAAAACATGATAAAATTTTATCCCAGAAACAAAGTTCAGTGAATAACTGTAATAACATAGGTTGTTACTGTAGTTATAAGTACAAATTATAATATATTATCAAAACATCGTAATGAGATTTAAGAAATGGTCATTAATTATATTGGATCATTATTTCTAAGTAGGGCAGGTCACCCATTGAATTGTTTCTGTTTAAAGTTTATTTTTTGTGTGTCAACTGTGTTACTGAAAGAATTTTTATACAAATAATTCCTAATGTGTTTCCAATTCTTTAATATAGTTAGAAGCTAACTTGAGAAAAAAATATTACCATTCACCCTAGAACAATATAGTTCTTCCTTTCTTCCTTCCTTCCTTCCTTTCTTTTAGAATACTATAGCCATCATTTTTGTTTTTATCTTAGAAAATAGATACATAAATTTTCTATTGCTATCTTGAAGTTTTTATTGTTTGGCAAGAACCACATGAAATGACCAAGGTTTAGCTGTCTGTGATATATAAAGCAGCAAGTTCATATAATGTAACCAAATTCATTTAGTTATATATGTCAGATAGATAGATGATAGATAGATAGATAGATAGATAGATAGATAGATAGATAGATAATGCATTTAGAGTTATAGCATATCTAACTGAAACCCTAATTCATGCTGTCTTCGTTACAGGCAGGCAGTGTGACACCTAAGTCACCCTCCACTGACATCTTTGATATGATTCCATTTTCTCCAATATCACCACAGTCTTCGATACCTGCTCGAAATGGAACACAGCCACCTCCAGTACCTAGTAGATCTACTGAGACCAGTATGCTTTGAAAATTAGTATTTTATTATTTTATTCCTATATATTTCATTAATTTATTAATTTCTGAAAGAAAATGACTATCTAAAGTGTTGTTAAGTATAATAGATAGGAAGGAATAAAGTAGTGACTAAAACATGCCTGTAAAATTATTTTCTCTTTCTCCAGAAAGGGGAGGGGCTTGGAGAGCCCATCTTGTCACCATGTACCATCAATAAAGTACACTGTACTCAGCCAAAAAAATTTATTGAAAGAAATTATTTAAGAAAGAAATTTATTGACAAACAGTGTCAACTTTGACTAAAACTAATAGTACTGAACATAAATTATATATAAACTAAAAGAAACACCCCTAAACCCTCATTATAGTCAAGTTCAGAGTTTACTCATGCTGACTTCCAGTGCATTTTCAAAATCTTTAGATCTCATGTGAAAAGATTGTCCATCTTTCTCTCAGGAGTGTCTGGTGGATTCACACTATCAGAGAGCTCCCTCTATTAGACATTGTTGTTGTTTTTGTGTACTATAGAGTTGGAGCCAACCCATGGCTGACCCTCAAGCGAGTTTTCAGAGGCAGTTAATTGCAAGAAAGGAGAGTGCCCTTCTTGCTGCTGTGGAGCAGCTGGTGGCCTCGAACCATGTACCTTTGGGATTGCAGCACAGCTTCTTGTCACTTGGTCACCAGCGCTCATTAGATAACCACAAATCCAGTTTATAATGGGATTATAAATTTCTTTTACATTTAGAGGTGACTTTGAAAGCAATTATATGGTCCTAAGAGGACCATATTTGAATAATATTGAATATATTAACTAAATATATTTGACTCTTATCCAGTTATATGCACTAATAGCAAAAGCCAAAGAGAAGGATATTGAACATTTTTACCAAATGTTGCAGTCCTAAATGACCAAACATGAAATTAATATGAGGTGATGATAATCAGTGACTAGAATGTAATAGTTGTAAACATTGAGGAAGGAATGGTAATTGGAAAGTTTGTACTGGGTGGCAGAAACTAGGACAGAAAGGGAATGACCAAAGTTTTTATGTTCAATGACCTGTTCATCACAAATACTTTTTTGAAGATCACAAATGGCAGTTCTTTACACACGTACCTCCCCAGACGGACTGTATGGGAATCAGATTCACTTTCTGTGGAAGGAATCACTGGAGAAGCTCAGTGTCAGCAGCCAAAACCAGGTGAAGTACTGACTGAGGAACAGACCATCAATTACTCATGTGCAAGCTCAAACTGAAGCTGAAGAAAATGAAGACAAGTCCATGAAAACCACAATATCATGTTGAGTCTATTCCACCTGAATTTAAAAATCATCTTAACAATCAGTTCGAAGCATTGAAAACCAATGAGCAAAGAACAGGTGAATCCCAGGATGACATCAAGGATATTATCTATGAAGAGAGTAAAAGGTTACTACAAAGAAATAAGGGGGGAAGGAAATCCAAAAATGAATATCAGAAGATACCCTAAAAATGTCACTAGAGTGTTGAAAAGCCAAAACAAGGGGAAGACATGTTCAAGAAGAAGAGCCAAAAAGAATATTTCAAAGGACAGCATGAACAGACAAAACAAACTGTTGTAACAGAAGGTGCAGAGACAGAGAATTGGAGCATAAAAAGGGAAGAGCCTGCTCAGTATTTCTCAAGCTGAGAGAACTGAAAAATTCAAGTATCAAGTTGCAATTCTGAGAGATGCTATGGGCAAAATCTTGAACGATCCAAAACATTAAAGGAAGATGAGGTAATACACAGAATCACAGTACCAAAGAGAACTGACTGGCAAAGAAATATTTCAGGAAGTACCATTTGATCAAGAGTCAATGGTAATAATGGCAGTAGTTTAAGCTTCACTGAAAGGATTGGCAAAAATAAGGTTTCAAGAATCATTGGAATATAAATTGACATGTTTCAATTGATAGATTCAGCTCTGGACATGCTCTCCAGTCTATGCCGGGAAATTTAGAGGACAGCTGCCTGGCCAATTGATTAGAAGAATTTCATATTTATTTCCATTCCCAAGAAAGTTGACACAACAGAATTTGGAAATGATTGAATAACTGGGGTCATGAGGGTAGATGTATCAGAGATAATGAGATTGGCTCAGGCTATCGCAGGGTTCAGAGAGCTATGGTATATGACGTTGCTATGAGTCTTAGATGACTCGATGGCACATAACAACAACAACATCATCATTCATATCATGTGTAAACAAAATACTGCTGGTAATCATTCAAAAACAGCTAGAACGGTATTTAGACAAAGAACTGCGAGACGTTCAAGCTGAATTTGAAGGTTTTTGTGGCACTAGGGATGTCATTGCTGATATCAGATGGATCCTGAATGAAGCAGAGAATAGCAGAAGCATGTCTATTTGTGCTTTTTTGACTCTGCAAGGGCATTTGCCTGTGTGGCTCATAACAAATTATAGCTGAGACTGAGAGGAGTTGGATTCCTAGAGCACTTAATTGTACTCATGAAACACCTGTACCTAGGACTAAGAGGCTATTATGTGAACAAAGAAAGGGAACACAACATGATTAAAAATTAAGAAAGGTGTATATAGATAGGGTTGCACCCTTTCTCCATACCTATTCAGTCTGTATACAGAGTAAATTATTCAAGAAGCTAGAATCTGAAGAATGTGGCATCATGAGTGGAGGATGATTCACCAAAAGCCTTCCTTCTACATCTGATACAACCTTGCTTACGGAATTAAAGTGAGAAAGACGAAAGTATTAATTGTAGAAAATCAAAGATTGCAGCCTTCAACAGGGATTACATCTCCATATCGAGTAAACAAAAATCCTCTCCACTGAACCTATAGACAACATCATGATAGATGGAGAAAAGAATGAAAGTGTCAATAATTTTGTCTTACCGCACCCACAGTCAATACCCTTGGTACCATCAGTCAGGAGATCAGGAGATATATTGTACAAGGGAACTCTGCAATCAGGAATCTTCCAAACTATTGAGGAGCAATGATGTCAGTTTTAGGATGAAAGTGCCCACTTGATTCAAACTATGGACTTTTTAATCACTTGCTATGCATCTGAGAGAAGAAAAATTGATACCTTTAAACTGTGGTGTTGGTGAAGAGTACTGAATATCTCATAGCCTGCCAAATGAACAGTTATGTCCTGGAGAAGATGTACCCAGTGTGTTCTTTTGGTACAAAGATGGCAAAGCTTCATCTAATGTACTTTGGGCATGTTGATAGGAAAGGCTATTCCTTGGAAAGTATTATCATGCTTGGGAACAGGGTGGGTGGCAGAAGAGAGGAAAACTTTCAACCAGGTGGATTGACACAGTGCAGCAGTGGGCTCAAGTGTGTCAAAGATTGTGAGAATGGAATGGCACAGATAGGACAAGGTTCAGATCTCTTTTATTATTATTATCATTGTTTATTATTATTATTAATATTATTATTATTAATTGTGTGTGTGTGTGTGTGTGTGTGTGTGTGTGTGTGTGTGTACTGTAAAATCGGAGCTGACTGGTACAGGAGGAGATTGTCCCTCCATCTTTAGCAGAGCATCTGGTGGATTTGAACCACGTGCCTCTGGGATTGCAGTGCAGCTTCTTGCCATTAGGCCACCAGTGCTCACCAAGGTTCACATCTCTTATTCATAGGGTGGCTATGAGTTATAATCAACTTGATGGGACCTAACAACGAGAGGACCATATATGGCTCATATCCAAGCTATGATTTTTTTCTGTTATTTGCTACACATTAGAAAGTTGGACAATGACTAATCACGACATAGAAGAATTGATGTCTTTGAGTTGTGGAGAATGGTACTAAATATGCCATGAACTGCCAAAAGGACAAAGCAGTATATCTTGGTAAAAGTGCAACCAGGGTATTCCTTAGAGGCAAAGTTGGGGCATATTGTTAGGAAGGTCTAGTCTTTGGAAAAAGACATCATGCTTGGAAGAATGGAAGGTCAGTTCTCAACAGGATAGATTGACACAGTGACCGTAGCAATGCGTTTGAGTATAGTAGCATTTGTGAGGATGATAAAGGATAAGGGAAAGTTTTTCATCTGTTGTTCATAGGGTTGCTATGAGTCATACTTGAAGTGATGACACCTAGGAATAACATTCACGCTAGGATTCTTGGTGGCCTAGATCTACCAGTAGCTCTGGGAGAAAGATGAACAGTCTCTTTCTGCAAAGATTTACAGCTTAGAAAAGCCAATAAAGAGTTGCCTTGAGTTGGACTTAATAGTATGTTTTGGGTTTTTTAAATATTCTTGTTCATATAACATTTACTATAGACTAAGAACTCTGGTGGCCTAGTGGCAAAGAAGTTGCCCTGCAACCCCAAAGACAAGCATTTTGAGGCCACCAGCAGCTCCACAGAAGGATGGGCAATCTCCTTCCGTGTGACTGACTGCCCCTGAAAACCCACTGGAATGTCAGCTATGGGTTGGTTCCAACTCTACGATAAACAGCAACAAGGATCTTTCTAAGAATTTTACATTTATCAGTACAAAATTCGAAGGAAAAAAATAAATAAAAACCCAGCCATTACTGAAGAGACAAAGGTCACACAGTAAGATTGTCTAGCAAATTTTTATTCAATAAACAAATAAAGAAAATGCAATAAAATAAAAAATCATTTATTCAATAAATAAATTAATAAATTTATTGAAAAAACTGTTTTACTAGTTTAATAGTAAGTAGCACAAATAATATTGTTTTATAGTACTTAGAGAATCTAAAGTTTCCTGTAAGGTGAATGTCTGAATATACTATAAATCTCCACATTCATATGTAAGACAGGATTTTCAGTCAATTAAAGCTTCATTTTTATCTATTTAGAGGAGAAATGTATTAAGATTTTTAAAACTTTAAATAATATCAATAACTAGCATAAAATTCAATTTTCATAATTCTTTAGTGATAAAAAAGCTATTCTCTTTGAATATATTTTCAAGGGACTTTTTGGCTTATGCATTGATACTGTTTTGAAAAAGAAATGTATTTTCTAGAGTTGCAGACATTTTAAAGAGCCTGTGTTGTAATGGTGTAAGAAGGTGATAAAATTTCATACTGCATGAGATGATATGTTTTAAGTTTCATTCTGGATGAAAAGATGAAATAAAATACATGATGTGAGTAAAACTATTTGCTAATATACTCAGTCCTTCATGCATTGACTTAATGTTGTTTAAATAAGGCATAACAAAATGCAAAAAAGTAATCTCAGTATAAGCATTTTAATTTCAGTAAATTTAAATTGGTTCAATAAATGTAACTTTACTCATTGAATAAACTTACAGGAATATAGACTTAATGAATAAAGCAGGGAGCTCTGGTGGCCTAATTGCAGCTGTGCTGCAATTCTGAAGGCACACAGTTTAAATACACCAGCTGCTCCACAGGAGAAGGGTGGGCAGTCTCCTCCTGTGTGAATAACTGTCTCTGGAAACCTGTTTGAGTGTCAGCTCTATGTCAGTTCTGACTTGAAGGCAGACAGCAACAACAACCTAATTAATATAAAACATTTGTCAAGTTTCATATGAAGGAGCTCATCAAAATTTCTTAAAGACACTGAAATTTTCCTTGAAAATAATTCTGTGAAATCAGTTTTTGTTATCATCATAAAATGAATCTTTGCTACCTTGTTGATAATTAGTCTAAACTCAGGTAAACCCAGTGTAAAGGTAGAAAATGGCTCATTTGATAATGTTAAATACTTATTTATAGTCTTACCTCTAAAACCTAATCAGCGCCAACCAACATCTTGAAATTTCATTTACTAAAATTTTTTATTCTTTTTAGAACGAGATCTGTTTGGAGCAGAACCTTTTGACCCATTCAGTTGTGGAGCAGGAGATTTTCCTCCAGATATTCAATCAAAATTAGATGAGATGCAGGTAAGTGACTGTTTTAACAAACTGGTCAATAGTTTATTTCTTTTTAATCTAGAACAGAGTGAATGGTATTTACCTAAAATGTCCTTTACTTGAATTACTATCCTTAAAATTATATTTTCAGATAATAATATACAGTTTGCCCTAAAAGTAGTCCTGCAAAAATTATGAATAAGATACTTTTTGTTGCTCTTTTCAGTGGTACATTTTATGATGACCCTATGTTGATTTCTTTTTTCACACAAAGTTACATGGATTCTAATGGTTCATTATCTTGAAGTCCAGCCATTAAAATGTCATTACACTGTTTCTAAGACTTGGTCTCAGTCTTACCAGTTTATGAATTTCAAAATCATAAATGGGTAGATGAGGGAAAATCTTTGTAAGGGTGAAGTCATTCTTTATAAAAAGAAGAATTGTATTTGTACTTCATAAATTCTGAGATCTTAGTGAAAAAAAACAACAAAATACCCAGTGACAACTTGCTTAGGAATGTAGCCACTCACTCTTGTTCTCTCGTCTCTTATTTTTGAATTCTGATCTGTTCTGAAAGTTTGAAGCAATTATTTCTGGAAGTTTTATACAAAGGCCATATTAGTACTAAAATGAAATGACTTGTGTATTATTAACCATTTACAATTTGTTATTAACCATATACAATTTTATATCCTATTTTATATAAAAATCGGTAATTAGATAATATATTAAACAGAAATAAGTTAGATGAAAGGAATGACAATATTTAGTAAGGGAGTGATCAACACATAAACAAAATAAATTACATATGATAGAATCCAGACAAAGTCCTATTCTATGGTGCTGGTTAGGAAAATATAGAGAAGACACTAAGATAAGGAGAAGGAGATATTGCCTTTCATTGGGACTAGATTAACACATTGAATCTCTATGATTCACTTCCTAGCAGTGGAAAGAAAACAATGTTTGGATCAGTATCTTCTAACACTGATAAGTATCCACTTCTCTAGATTTAGACTGCAGCTGTGACTCACACTTATTTTCTGGGTTGTCATTGGTAGATGTCCCCAAGTTGATTTTCAATTCATAGTGACCACCATGACAATAGAATTTGCTCCTTGGGTTTCCTAAGGCTGTTGCTGTTGCTGTGAATCAGAATCAACATAATGACATGAATAATTTTCAAGCAAGCATATCACCAGACCTTTCTCCCAATTGATGCAATGTCTGTGTGTTTAAGCCTGAAATGTTTCAGTTAGTAAACAGCAAGCAGCCCAATTTTGAACCAGCATCCTAGATGTTTGTAGAAACATAGTATTAGAATGAGGTTTTGATTTGTTAGTCAAGTAATATGAACTACAGTAATATTTTTCCATTGTAATTTCTAATATTTTAATGTGTTTTATTTTTAATTCTTTTCTGCTTTCATGGTGGGTAGCGTCAGAGATGGTTGGTATTTTTTTTATAATAATTTTAAACAACTTAAAACATTTTATATGCAAAACCCTTAGTATTTTCATGTCTTATTTGGTAAATATTTGAACCCCAGTTTCATGTAAATGCATCTGCCTATTTAGAACTTAAGGAAGTTTTGTAACTCATATTTTGAATTTATGTTTTCGTGACTTAGTAAGTATTGTATTATCCACTTTATCCTTTGTGTGCCTTTGTTCACAATTTGCTTGGAAAATCACTAACTAAAGTAAAAATTTTTCCCCTCCAAGGTCTATTATAACTTTATTTTACTTGCCTGATTAATCTAATACACACATTTGGCTATAGTTTTTTATCTTTACATAATACTTAAGACAATAAACATAATGAAATGTTTACTTTTTTCTTTATTTAGAGAAGGTTTTGATTAATATTATTTTAAGGGAATATCTCAAAAAATTCTCAAACTCCTTATTTTCAAGTTGAAACCAACTTATAGCTGGCTTTCTAGTGGGTTTTTGGGTTTTCATACAGGAGATTACCCATCTTTTCTCTTGCAGAGAGGCTGGTGGATTTGAACCTCTACAGCAATACAGCCCTTGTGTTAGCAGCACAACTCTCCAGGATCTATGTCCCCAGTTGTTGTTGTTGTTATGTGCCTTTGAGTCACTTGTGACTCATAGTGACTCTATGTGCAATAACTCGGAACCCTCTCCTAACTTGAACCAATTGCACTATCTCTGACACACCTACTCCCTTACCCACTTCCTGTATCAGTCTCTCTCCTCTAGGGTCTTCCCTCTTTCGCTGCCTCTCTATCCATCCATGCATGATTTCTTTCCCCGAGGACATCCTTGGACTTCCTAAGTCTCTCCTAGCAATATGTTCAAAGTAGTTCATAGGTAGCTAGAGCTCTCTCTATATAGTTGTTGTGTGTACCGTAGAGTCAGAACCAATCCATAGCTGACCCTCCAGTGGGTTTTCAGAGGCAGTTAATCACACAGAAGGAGATCACATGGGAGATCATTTTCCTATGGTGGCCTGAACTGCATGACTTTGGGATTGCAGTGCAGCTTCTTGCCACTAAGCCACAGTGTCTCATGAGCTATATATAGTATCACTCATAAGATACCAGAAGATACCATAGTTCACAGATACTCAGATATCCACAAAAAAATGTGTTAAAAAAACAGTTCATTTAAAATATTTTAAGTATTGACTTTTCTAAATATTTTGCAACTGAAAAATATGTATAAAACAATGAAACATTTATTTTTGTGACATTAAAAAATAATTAGTTGCCTTTGCATAGTAATATATACATACAGTATTTTCTATATAGGAAGCTGTGGTGGCCTAGTGGCAGAAACTGCATTGCAATCTCAAAGGTACACAGTTCAAGTTCACCAGCTTCTCCACAGAAGGATGGACAATCTCCTCCCATGTGATTTAGTGTTTCTGAAAACCTGCTGGAGGGTCAGCTGTGGGTGGATTCTGACTTGTTGATAAATAACAATAATATTCCATATAGGATATGACATTGTCTTTCTAGTAAAACCATTTTACTTGGGTTCTGGATAGTGTTAATGAAAAAGAAAGGTGATTCTTACAATCTGTCTTGAGTCTCTCTCATCAAGTTGAGGTCTAGTTATTGTCATTAAAAATGCATCTGTGTTGATCTTCAAAGGCAACATGGATTTGAGCTATACAAGGATGACATAATATATAGGATCCACTGAAAAAGACGTCGTTCTTGGAAAGGTGGGGAGATGGAGAAGGAGACTCTCAGTAGGTATATTGACAGTGACTGCATCTATAGGATAAAAGTGTGTCAATGATGGTCAGGTTCACACACGATAGGACAGGGTTCAGATCTGTTCATGAGTTGTACTCTATTCAACAGCATCTAATAACAACAACTAAACAAGATCGTAAGTCATAACGTGACTAGTTTCCTATGTTGCCGTTTTCTTTTGCTTTTATGATAACCTCATATCTATTAAAACATTGCAACCCTAAAAGGTGTAAAAGAGAGACTAGATGGTATAAATATGTATAAAGAGATTGAAACATTTGGTATATAATTATTTTCAGTAAAGCATGAACATTTCAACTTCTATTTAATCTTTCATGTTTTGGTTATATTTAATTTCAAACACACATACACATATACACATATAAGAAACTCTGGTGACATAATCCATAGGGAGTTGCTCTGATAACCCAATGGTGATTGCACCTCTCCTCCTGTGAGATTTACAGCCTCTCAAAATACACTAGGTGCTTTGCCTTGAGTCTTTACATACATGAAAGTTGAGTTGTGATAGATCCATGAGCATTTCTTATTTTAATTATTTTACTTTCTTTTACAGGAGGGGTTCAAAATGGGATTGACACTTGAAGGCACAGTATTTTGTCTTGACCCATTAGACAGCAAGTGTTGATATCAAGAACAAGAGATCCTAACTCATGTTACATTACTTTATATGCATATATGTAGTTATTTCTTTATGACAGGTATTATACATGTGCCAAGATATATTTGAGTGTCTTTCATTTTTGAAACATATTTCAGTAAAATTTTTCATATGTTCGCTATTGATTCAGAAGATGTTTTTATTTTACATACTGTAAAGTATATCATACATTTCCTTGTGGGTTTGTGTGTAGTTATTGTTTCTTTTTCCTGTTGGGAGCAAATTCATAATAGACAAATTTTGTCTCCATTCTAAACAGTTAGCATCTTTGAAATCTGTGTTTCCTTTTCTGGCGGCTGATATATTCATTTTTCAAAAGCCATATCTTACTGATGCCTTTTGAAGTCCTGAGGAGGTAGACCAATGCAAAACTAAACAGATTCCATTTTCAAGCCAGTCATTACGTGACCATTCATTAGGCAATGCCATATTGTCTTCTAAGTCTTATTACTATTATGAAAGTGTAAACCTTTGAAATAATGCCACCAAGTAACTAATTTTTAAAAGATACAGTAATGTGAATATAAATTCAATAACGAGGAAACCAACCATAGCTCCAGTATTTATTAGTAAAGATGAGGTAATTCTGTTAGCTATAATTATTAGTTATATTAAAGATAATTTTATTTGCTTCATTGACAAAGATTGTGGAAGAATAAAAATTTGCTATTTGCAAAACATTTGAAAGAAAAGTCAATTTCTAGTGAAGTAAGTTAGGGAACTCTGATGCCCTCCTGGTAAGAAGCTGTGCTACAATACCAAAAGCACACAGTTTTAATCCACCAGCTGCTCCACAGGAGTAGCATGGACAGTCACCTCCAGTTCATTTTACTGCCTTTGAAAACGTATTGGAGGGTCAGCTATGGGTCAGTTCTGACTCAATGGCACATAACAGCAGCAGCAGTGAAGTAAGTTACATTAGACTTACATCATCTGATTTGTTTTCTAAAGAAAGAAAAGTGTATAATGCATATTGTCTACAGTTTCCGTGTCTATTAACCATGTTCATTATAAACCTATGTATTTTCACTAATTGTAATTATAATTATTCTTTGGTATTTTCTCCTTTGATCAAAGTATCTATCTTTTCACCAAAGTTCACTTTTTGGATGCCTCATTAGTTTTGATAATTTAAAATCTATGACAGCTATCATTATAAATCATAAGTATTATTTAGCAAATTTAATTTGCATTTATTTTCTTGAATCCAGAGGCTTGTCACAAAAATAAAACTACTACTGGATTTAATCTTTAACATAAACCCTAAAGTTTTCTTCCTTCTCATTTTTTTGATGTACTGATAAATCCCAACCTTTAAAGAACATTTTCTGGACCTTTGCCCAATGTGTAATAGATTTTAATTTGTATTCAGTACAAAACTAATGGTAATCCATGTTCTCATTTGGATGATCATAAGAAAAAAATTCATTAATCTATGGGCTTATATTAAGTATAGGCTTCAAAGGTAGTTTTTTCTTTTATTTCTGGACATGTTCTTCACATGATAAAGGTACATTATCACAATTAAAGAAAATCAAATAAGCTTATGCAATGTTATATTCATATGTAAGCCAAACATATTTTGTGTTATATCCTGTTACCTGCTAAAATGGACATAAATTGGAGAATAGGTTTTATTTTGCCACTTTAGTAATAATTCCCATTCACAATCACCTATAATAGAAAAAATACACTGCTTGTATTAATTTCATTGTTATTCTATATTTAATTAATAAAGATTTTTATATAATCTGAGAAGGCATGGTAGCTCAATGGTTAATCACTCAGCAGTAAACTTAAAACCTAATCCAGAAACCAACATTGCAAATCCAGTTAAATGTTGGTAAGCTTAAAAGGTTGATGGTTCTAACCTACTAGATATTCTGCAGGAGAAAGATGGGATACTCGGCTAGAAAAAGATTTACAATTTTAGAAATCATATGGGGCAGTTCTACTCTGTCTTGTAAGATTACTATGATGAGTCGGAATTCCACGTGAGGGCAATAGAATTTTGGATATGTTTCATAAAGAAGAGTCTTTATAATTTTGTTTGTCATATAGTATTTTGAAATTTGTATAATGAAGATGTTTAGAAGCCATATCAATGGCTTTTTTTTAACAGATAGAATTTGTATTTTTATTGTACTTTAAAAAACTTTATGTAATACGTATATATTTAGTGGCCATTTATTATCAATGGTAACACATTAGATTACTAAAATGGTATTTGCACACTTAAAGTATGTTTCTTTACCAGTTTTTAATGGTAATCCTGCTACTGGCATGATTAAATAAATAGTACATAATTGGTCATTAATTATGAACACTTGTTTCACCAGTGCATTTTTATGATCTGGTTGAAAGTTGTATTTCTATGTAATCTTAATGATATGTTTGATTTTGCTGAAAATAAACATTTTTAAATAAGTACAATTGTATGATTTACTTGTTGAATAAGCTCTAATTAATTAGGTACTCTGAAGTTAATTACATAATAATTCTTACTGGTTGAAAATTTGGAACCAAAAGAAAGAGTAAGAACAGTAGAAAAAGGAAGACAAAAGAGAGTTTTACCTTTAACTTCCTTTCTTACAACCCACACACATTTTAGCTTTATGAGCAAATAACATTCAGTTGTGAAAACAGTGGGCTTGATCCTGCTGCTGGGAGAGGTCATGATTTGATTGCTTTCACCAGAAGAATCTGTAATAACTGTATTATGTAAGTTTCTCTTTTCAAAATTAAGGGACCCTTTAGCCTAGTAATAATATGAAGAATGTTTGGGCTATTAGTACTGAAAATGTGGATTTATAGTAGGAGTTAGATATGACTAGTTGAATCATTTAATTTTTAAATGTTAAAAACATAGTACTTTAAAAACACAGAGACACAATCATTGTTAATCCAAGAATAATTAAAAAGAATTCATTTGCTATTCACAATGTGAGTGACACATATTATGCACGTCAGAAGACATCCAGTAAATTTGCTGAAAGACACTGTTAAAGATTACAGGATCAGTGCTTTGCAGTTAGTTTCTTATTGTAAAGGAAAAGTAAGGCAAATCTGTGAATTAAGAAATGAAAACTGGTATGTATAATAAAAAAAGAAAAGAAAAAAAAACCTCTCTGGGAGCATTTATGTTTAAATATGAACACCTATCATTGGTAAGAGGTCTTGCTTGTTGTAGTGGTTAAAGCACTTAACTGGTGCTTTAACTTAAATCAAAAGTTCAACTTCAGCAGACCAGTCAGGAAAGAAGTGATAGTTTGCTTCTGTAGGATTACAGTACTGGAAATCCTCTTGGGCAAGTGGACCTGTCTATAGGGTCACCATGAGTCAGATGGAATTGACAGTCTTCATTTAGACTTTATGTTACTAAAGTCCAAAAAGTAACTCCCTTCTGTAATTCCTCCCTCTAAACAAATTTTAGTGGATCATAGCAAATTATGGTTAACATTGAGAAGGAATGGAATCCCAGAACACTTAATTGTGCTAGACCAGGAGGCTTTTGTCCAAATAAAACAATGAAACACTGAATTATTTAAAATAAGAAAAGTTTTGTAGTTTTGATTGTTGGGTGGGATTGTAAAATGGTACAACCACTGTGAAAGGCAGTTTGGCACTTCTTCAAAAAGCTGAACATAGAATTTCTATATGACATATCTATACCATTGCTTAGAATATACCCCAAGAAAATAAGAACTTAGGCTCAAATGGAGACTTATACACCAATGTTCATAGAAGCACTATTCACCATCACAAGAACATTGAAGCAGCCCAGATTTCCAAGCACAAATTAATGGATTGAGAAGTTTTAGTACATTCATACAGTGGAATACTACACAGCATGCAGGAGCATTGATTTTGAAAATAACTACCTAACACTGGAGGGATTGGAGATCGTAATGCTGAGTGAACTCCATCCCAGAAGGACAAATACTATATAATGCCATTATTGTAGAATGAGTATGAGGATCCAAGGGGGGGAGGGTAGAGACAGAGGGGCGAAGATGGGGGGCGTTGTTAATCATAGGGTAGCACAATTCACTGGTTGGAGGGGTGAAGGATCTTTTGTGAAAAACAATATATTCATACTTTGTAAATAAATCAGTATAAAATATAAAAATTGACGAACCAATAGCAATGAAGGAAGATGCTCAAGTGCAATAAAAAAAAGAAAGATTTTTGAATGGCTATATCCTTTGTTCATACCTTGTGCCTATCTTTCTCCATACCTATTCTGTCTGTATAAAACATATAAAGTGAAAAACAGGACTTTATGAGAAAGAATGTGGCATCAAAATCAGAGGAAGACTCATCAACCACCTGAGTTATGCAGAAGACACAACCTTTCTCGCTGCAACTGTTGAGGACATGAAAGGACAGAAAATCAAATATAGACCCTTCTGTATAGATTAAATCTCAACATCAAGAAAACAAAAATCCTCACCACTGGGCCAATAAGCAACAGCACGGTAGGTGAAGAAAAGATTGAAGATGTCAAAATTTAATTTCATTTGGAACACCTAGCAGTCAGGAGATTAAAAAAAAATGTGTTGCACTAGGAAAATCTGCTGTCAAGGACCTCTCCAAAGAGCTAAAAACTAACAAGGTCACTTTAAAGACTAAGATGCACCCAATTCAAGTCATAATTTTTTCAGTTACCTCCTATGCATATGGAAGTTGGACTTTGAATAGAAGTGAGAAAAGAATCAATGAGTTGTGTTGATGGAGAAGAGTACTGACCATTCCATGGACTGCCAAAAGAACAAACAAATCTGTCTTGGGGAAAGGCAACCAGGTGCTCCTAAGAGACAAAGATGGTGAAACTTTATCTCACTTTATTGGAAAGATGGGCACAGCAAATCAAAGGAAGACCTTCAGTAAAATGGGTGGATGTTAACAGTGAGTTCAAATATAGCAGAGATGATGAGGATGGCACACGACCGAGCAAGGTTCAGATC